TCAAGTTCACTAAGGCCCTGTCAATGCGCGACATAGAAATACTATTACCACCTCCACTTCGCATAAAACGGGCCCCCAGTTAGAGGGAGATTAATCAGGCAGTTTTGATTAATGAAGGCATTAAATTCTTCCATCAACTCCCTGCATCTAGGGCTGCCTCTAAAATCCTCATCAGTCCTGACCAGATTGAAGTCTCCCCAAGATACATAGGGGGTCACTATATCTTCTGCAGATGGAATTCAACTCTCTAAGAAAAGCCAATTTATCTTCTTTTTCCCGCGGCTCATAAACAAACACAAACACACAGGATGCTGGAGCTTTGTCTAGATTGAAGTCTAGCCGCCAAAGAGAAATCTCCCACCCAAGAGTTGATTAGGGTAAAATCCTTATTGTCCCATAAACAAGCAATGCCACCTCTAGTGCCGATAGCATCTTTCACAATCCATTTTGAATTCCTATTACCACTAATAGAGGATATTAGGAACTGGGAACACTCGCTCCATTTTGTTTCGACCACACCCACCACCGAAGCGCGACATCTCTTAATAATTGCTTTCACCCGCACCCTCTTATCCGGAGCGCACAACCCCCTCACATTCCATGCTAAAGCAGACCCATTCATAGAAAAGCGTAGGAACAAAACCAATCGAAAGCATGGAACCATCCCAGTCAACTTACCTCCTCAACACGTCTACATCTGGATCTGAGCCTAGACGAGGACTGAGAACTAGGAATCAAAGGTCCAATGCGATGGACCTCCATCTGAAGTTTGGTCCTGCGCCTTCTGTTACCCTTCATTTTAAGGGAAGTGGCAATCTCAGCAAATTGATCATCCGCCGACAGAACCTCTTCAAGAGTTGAAAGTTTCAAGAGATTTCGGAACGTTCTTCCAACCTCTAGAAGTCGAATTAAATCTTGCTCGGCCCGCCATTCCTTCAAAAAGGCTTGATCGACAGGACAATACTCCACAATGGCAAGTGAAATTCTCCTCCTCCTCTACTGAATTATAGGGAAAACCATCCATAGCATCTTCAGATTGGGAAGCCGAGGGAAGAAAAATAGAGTACGAGGAATCAAGAGATGAAGCTGAGGAAAAAAGGACTAGGTAGGAAAAGGTTCGGGGAGGACAAGTGAGAAGAAGGTAGCTTAGAAAGGGTAGAGGGTTGCAAAGGACAAGGGGACGGGAAAGGAAGCTGGCTAGGATAAGGATCGAAGAAAGAAATGAGGTTGAGAAGGGAGGGTTGAATGATAGAGAAGAAAGAGCTATGAATGATATGGATTGACAAATTCTTGTGGGATAAAAGAAGTCTATCGGGTAATAAGGATACAGAGGCAAAAGGTTTTGGGTTGGGCTTATCCAAAGCTAACACAGGGCTCGACAGGGAAAAAGGGGGGGGATTGGAATTCTGAGATAGGCGACGGGCTAGGCCCATGAAACAGAAGAGGGTTGGGTAAAGGTCTGAACTTCCGAGCCCACACCAATTTTGAATGGGGAGCATTCGACTTTTCCTGGGTAAGAGCACCATGAATGCAGAGAGGGAGATTAACCGCCACCTCGGGAGAAGAATAAGCCACCATTACCGTCGTAGATCCGTTTGAGTTCCCAACGGCCGGACATAGCTTTGACAGAGGTGAAGCCACCGGCGGCGGGATTACAATAGAGACCTGAACAACGACTTCCCCGTACGTCAGAGAAACAGACTGAGGCATCTCTTCAATCGCCTGAACTTTAATAGAAATAAAAGGATCTTCCCAGTTAGACCAATTAGCATCAACAAAAACTCCACAGAAATCCCCAATCTTCTGACAAACAACTCTGGAACGAAGATGAAGTGGGATACCAAAAACCAAGATCCATCTTAACCCGTGTTGGCAGTAGAACTCTGCGCCCGACCCATCAGTCCAAGGCCGAAGGATGACGTTAAACCTTTTGAACTTCTTGCTCCTGGCCGTCTGAATGCGGACATCCTCGTACCGAAAGGGACAAAGCAGCATCCAATTGTCCCCGATCCTTCTGGAAAACGAAAAGCCATCCCCAAGGGACCATTCCTTTGAAGCCCACTCCCTGAACTCTTCCGAAAGATATGAAGGAAGCCCCTTGTATAGCGCATCAACGAAATCAATCAGCAGGCAATGATTAAGGAACAGTCGCCTCTCCTCAATGACCTCTTCCGGAACAACAATGATAGGTTGATCCACACGCTCTAAGGAAACAGAGGTGATCGACTTCGAACCAACCAACGCAGAGGCATAAGTTTTTCCGGGCGTAATAAAAGATGAGGGTCTCCTCTGAATATATCTGGAAGCTTTTCGAACAGGAGACAGAACCTCGGCGAGCTCTCTCAGGCCCGCATAATCATTCGGAAATAAGAGATAGAAGAACCTCCCGCCTCTCGTCGATTTTGTTAGTTTCAGACCCAGCCCCCAATGGTTCTCAAAGGATGAAATAGCTATATCCCGATCTCCAATCTTCTTGGATGCGTTTAAATACCTAAGCTTTCCACCTCCACCGAAGGATCGAAACTGAGAAGCCAACCATTCTGCGTGGCCCAGCTCCAGGAAGATGAAACGACGTGCTTGCTTTCCTTCAACTGAGAGTCTTAGAACCACCTTATCGCGAAAACTCTTCTGCTCCACCCAGATCCTATTGTGCCCAACTGAGACCCCTTGCCGCTGATCAGTAGCCACTCGAGTGTTGAAGAGCCGAATACCTGCAAGAAGAAACAAACTTACGAACTCCCACCCCAGTCCCAGACTCTCTCTCTACGACTCATACTCTCTCTCTTAAAAAACACCTTTTTCGTCTGCTTTCTTTGGATCGACCTAATGCTATCTTTTCAGTTGCGATGAAAATAGGTAGTTTTTGCTAGTAATATTAACTTGGCAATATGATACTGACTTGGAAGAGACACATGAAGGTCAACATTCCAAAATTTTAGTATTTTAATTAAGAAAAGAGTTACAAAATCATTAACGATAAAGTAAAAATGGCTAATATTTTGATGCATTACGAAATATTTGGCTAATTAATAGCATTTTAATAGGTTTGGATAATATAAAAAAATCTGAAAAAAGATTTGGATAAAAAATAGATATAATCCTTTTACTTTTACCTGATTTGTATGTAAGGAAGAAAGGAAGAGACGATTACAGAACCGGAGGTGATGGAGATACAAGAAGACATTTATTTTCAATATTGGCAGGGAAGTGACGGTCTAAGATATCGGCAAAGAGACCATGTTTTGTGGACAATCTACATAATAGCTTGAACCCATATGCTTACTCTCGGGTGAGTTTGGGCTGCATCCTCCATCCAACATATTGACCATCCATTCACCATATTTTGTGTTAGTTCTGGCTAGGTCAGTCCATATCCGTGGACCGCGGCAACCGTTCATTTAACCATCTCTAATTTATGAAATACACAGGTTAATATGTATTCCATCGAATGCAAAGTTCTCGAAGTTAGAATAGGTGGCGCTACGCTAGATATTGACACGTTAATGAAAAAAATAAAAGAAGCTCCATTGAGTACTTTTAAGAGAATTATACATCAAATAAGAACACGTCTCTACTCATCAATTGTGCTCAACTTCAAAATAATTCATTCGGTTTGGTTAATTGTTGAGGTGGCGCACGAGAGCTCACTAAGGTCTATGTGGCTCCGCCACTGGTTGTATTCCACTAATACTCTGCTCCAATCATAGATGAATTCTGCTATGTGTGTGAGAGAGAGAATTTTAAAATGTTCTTTAAGTATCGGTGATCTCATATACAGATTGAATTTGTACTATAAAGTTAAATGTACAAATTCAATTTGTTCCATTAATAAATTTGTAAGAAAAAAATCAGGATCCAACTTTGAGTTGTGTACATAACCATTGAATCTAAGTTTGTCGTTTTGCATCGTGAGAGAGCTAGAATTTTAGGAATGGCTATCAAGAAACTATTTCAAGATAGTGATACAATGAGAGGATACATCCACCTCTCCATCTTCAAAAAGTTGAGGGAATGGAGTTGAAGTTCAAGATCAATCTCACATATTACAAAATCCCGAACCCCCATAAGTGAATATGCAATTTTGAAGACATAGTAATACGAGAAAGAGCACATCTTTTGAAAATTTTTAGGGGTTGAGCGATGTAATATTTCATATTAACGAACATTAGCTGATATTTTTCTTTGCTTTTAATAAAATGTAAAAGAAGAAGGAAGAGTCTGCTAATGCTGGAAGTAATGGATCCGATGATTGAGATATTAAAACGTTGAGAATAGGAGCAAATCTCCGTCAATATTCATGGATTGGACAAGACAAATTCTACTTGAGTGAAAATGATGTTCATATTCGCAAATATTTTACCACTAAATATTTTCTTTCAATGAAATACAAGAGAAGAAGGTAGAGAATATTGGAGATAGAAATTTCGTTAATGGGGATGAAAGTGTGTTTATTGGTGGAGAAGATTGTGGGGATGATTGTAGAGCGATCTAAAGAAGTCCAAAATAACTGTATAGTAATTTGCTGACAGTTAGGAGTAAATCAGAGTTTGATTGGATTATGCATTAACTAAGTTAATTCCTGCACATTGCACAGTGGTTTTGTATTCTAATTTTAGTGGGGACTTTTGTTGACATATTAACCTGCTTAATATGTAGGAGAACTCGCTGATTTATGTTTTCCTCTGTAAATCAAATATTTTGGATTCCTTTATGATATAAAGTGTTTTGATATAAAGTGAAAACCTATCTTGCTTTGTATTATTGCTATTGTTGCTTATACAATCAACAAGATGCATCCGGTCAACGGACAAGCCACCATCTAGTAATCGTGTACTCATCAAGATCCTCCACCAACAACTACTTCTCAAGGCACTGGAAAAAAGGATACGCAGGCCTATATCCAAATTGACGGCTTAGATTAATTTTTCAGTTCAATTAATCTATCCCTGTTATCCACCCTAATTTTATTCGTTTGATACATTTCGTAAAAATTCTTTGTTGCATGGTCGCCTAGTTCTTTGGCTCTGTTGAAGCAGACCACCAGACCGAGAAGCAGCTTTGCCGCTCTATTTTAGTTTGATGGGATGAGAGTGCAGTAACTCGAGTCCGACATGATCAAATTTATAGCATCCTAGCCTTGCCTGAGGTTTCGCCGCGAGCTCCGATTCCTAGTAATGATAATGTCTGTACATGTACAATGCACAGCAACCAAACCATATGCAAAGTTTTAGCTTCTATCTCTACTGTGTGTATGCGTATGTATGTCTATGGAGGGTAACAAGTACGAAAGACGCTACAGCTTCATAGCAGAGCACATTTAACTTCTGTTAACTAAATCAGCACCACTAACATAGCTAGCAACAAATGAGATTAATCGGAATGGAGCACCGATTAGTGGTGCATCTGAAAAAGGGGTGTTGTCATCACCACTGTCATCTTCCACTACATCTTGTGGGGCCTCCGAATTGTTCTCGTCTTCGGTTTCGTCCAGTGGGATCTGTACGATCTCCCCCGAGTCAGCTTCTGAAGGGACTGTGATCGGAACAACTGGCATCCCCATTTCAATGGAATCCAACACACCATTCAAAGCAGGGATATTTTTTACTGACTCGGCCGGGGAGGCCAAGGTGCCAAGAATTTCGGTATTCTCAACCATGCCATCACTTTCAATGCCTGAAGATTGATCGAGTTGAGCACCTTTTTGGTCCAGCTTAGCGTACAACTCATTCACCTGCGAGGGTTTGAAATAATTCAAAGGGATTTATAACCGCCTGATTCACTAATGGAAACATGAAGCTGAGTCATCGTGGGAACAACCATTTCGATAAATTACCTTCTCAACAAGCTCTGCGTTTTCTGTGATCAACTTGTCGACAAGTGCAAGAGCGGCTTCAATCTGTGAGTTCACCTTGTCATCCTCATGAGTATTCTGCATTAAAATAAGATTCAGAAGATATCACAACAGAAATGAAATTTCATCCAGCCAAAACTCTCATGACTGTCAACATGGCTGCCAAAACAGCTGAATATAAAGGGTAAGCAACCTTTGTAAGTTGATTTGATGAGTTTTCTGAGGAGAAGCTGGTATCGAGAGTCAGAATCCTCGACTGCAGATCGGATATTCTTTCCACCAGCACTTGGTTCTCTTTTAACAGATTACTCTTATTTTCTTCCAATTCCACCACCTGCCAAGCTTCGTTTTTAATTTTCATTTCAGAATAACAAAGTTGTGATGCAAGAAGGATATACCGAATGAAATGAGCCCAGGCAAAGAGTATCCAAGACAAATAAAGTCAGCTAGAAATTATCATCATTATTTTGACCGTGAAGTCAGCTAGAATCAGCTTTAATTCTCAAACAGCACGAAAGCAATTTCATCTATTGAAATTAGAAGAGCAGATACGGCTTCGTACCTGCATTTTCAGTCTTGTAATATCAACATTTTGTTTCACAATTGTTTCCTTTGAAGAATACTGTTTAAAGGAAAAGAAAAGATATTAGCAAGTTAACACTTAACACTTGAATGTTTCTCTGGAAGCGTATTGTTACAATATGAACATAAACAAGGAGAAAGCATGCAAAATATAAAAAACGAACAAGAGAACAAGGACACTGAAAAGATAAAGGATAAAAAATGGGCAGCATATGATGCCAACAACAGCAAATACCAAACGTTGCAAATGATAAATCATGGTGAACTCTGAAAGCACCAGGTTCAGTTTTGTTCCGATCGTTTCTTTCCATTGACTCCAGTAACTTGACCATGCAAAAGTTGAGATGCCTGCCATTGACATATAAAGTTCGCTATCCTAGTGATGTCAGAGGCACAATCTTTTTGTTGCAAATCCTACAAATCTTCTCTTTGCATAATAAACTGCACTGTGAAAGCCTTTATCAGGGCACCACATCCACAACTCTCTAGCAAGGGACTGTTGTAGAGATTAAATAAAGGAGCAGAGTTTGGTTAAGACTTTGGAGGGAGAGTTCAACAAGATTTCCATCTTTTATCTGGTGATGAGATAACTGAATTATAAGAAGGAAACAGACAGAGATGAGAAGACACAAGGAATTACGGAAAATGACCACAAATTAAAATAGGAGCCTAAAAGGAGAGAGCCATCATCTCTAGGTCTCATTACCCTAACTAGCCAAAACTCAAAGGATTTCCCTATCAAGGAAACAAGGCATGTGCCTCACTTTCAGGTCATCCCATTTTGTTTCCAAAGGCATGCCTCTCTGACAATTATGAACTATCCCCTTCATAACAATAGTTGCTACGCATATCAATATGCAATCATGATGCCAGAACTAGAGCGAATGAAGACAAATGCCTCGTTAAGCCACAAATGATGGCATACCTCCTTTTCAAGCCACGAATCTTTTTCATGTTGCAACTGTGCAATTTTCATCTCTAGATCAGTCTGCAAATTATCCAATTACGAGATGATGTTAACATAAGTAGAAGAACACAATCTGTAAGTAGAAAGTAAATACAGGACATAAGTAACACGGACATTGCAATGGACTTAATGGCAAAATGTACCTCTTTCTGCATGTACGAATCCTTTTCAATACTCAGTTGCTTGTTTTTTTCTTCAAAATCTGCCTGTAAAGAAAATAAGGTTATTCAAGTATGATTGCAAACATAATCGGGATCCAGAAGGAAGCAAACACTTCTACTTTTAACTGCAATTTGAAAGTCAAGTGTCGCCCAGAACATGACAAGGGAAAAACATACAGTTAGATTACATTTCCAGTACCTGTTTAATCACAGAAATGTCATTTGCACTTATCAATGCTTTGATTGCACCTTCTAAGGAAGCCTGTCAAAACATATGGTAGATTTGGTTAGAAGACCCAAGACACAATCATGAAGAAAGAGATGGACAGAGGAGGAAGAGAAAGTTTCCGCACATTCTAGCACATTTTCATTTTCATCCAAACCTTGCAATTAGTTGAAAATACCTGTTTTTGTACATGTGCATTATTTTGATCCTGCAACTCCTTAATCTTCTCTTCTAGGCCAGACTGCAAAGTAGAAGTTTACTCCAAACCTCCTTCAATGTAGTGCATGACTGACGGTGCAGGAATATATAGATGAATCATACCTCTTTTCGTAAGTGAGATTCATTTTCCCCATGCAGTCGACTGATTTCCTCTTTCAGGGCAGTCTGGTGAACAAAGAGGTCTTTTAACAGCCAGTAGAATTTATTGATGAGAAATTTAAAGGATTCAACCAAACAACATCATATTAGCACAATTAAGATTTTATTACAAGTAATGTAATACAAGGTGACAGGTAAGAGGGTACGTTTGAGTGAACACAAAGTTAATATAAACATGAAAACCATATGTGATCACCTCCACTGCAGCAACTCTGGATTATCCAAGGTTGGCTGGACTGGAGTATTTTGACAAAGCGGAGCTCTAGACAAATGATGAGTTGTGAAATATGATGAAACTCATAATATCCTGGAGGAGTAGTGGTTGATACAGTGAATTTTGATTTTAAAAAAAGTAATCTCATTTCCCATCGACAGTGAAGAACAAATGCATAACTTGTGTTAAGAGAGCAACAGCAGGCATGGCACCTCTAAGAATGTAAACAGCTGATGACAACAGCTCTAGCATTCAGTTGCTATTAGCGGAAGGATGAACACTAAAACAACCCATCAAGCTTCATTCCTAGAGACAGTTGGCGCCTGAAGAATGTAAAGAGCTTATGAAAATAGCTCTAGCATTCAGTTGCTATTAGCAAAAGGATGAACACGAACCAACCCGTCAAGATTCATTCCTATGGACAGTTGAAACTTGGGATTTCCAACTAATATACTACTAGAAACTGATCATTCGTCGAGCAGCGAGGCAAACAGAGCGACATGATCACACATTAGAACCACATCAAATAAACTGGAGAAAACAAATAATTCCCCGAAGGGGGAAAAGGAAATTTGGAGACTGGGAAAGAATAGATCTGATTCTGGGGGAAATCCCTGCATGCAATTTTGTCTTTCCATACCTCGTCCAATCCATTATCCCGGTGGACGTCGGAAACCGAATTTGCGTCGACGTTTGGTACTGCACCGATTTGAATAGTTGGCTTATGATCGTTTCCCCCATTGGTGACATGATCGGCGGCGACGGCGGGAGCGTCATCTTCAGATGCCTTGTTCTGTTTGTTCTTCTTCTTCTTGTTTCGCTTCTTCTTCTTCTCATCCTCCATGGTAGAATACGACTCAGATCCAGAAGCCTAAAGTTGCGCACCGGAATATATTCACCTGTGCGAACAGAAGCAGCCAAAACATTCTCATATTATAACCGGATTTTAGCTCAGATCTGCACCACAGATTCAAAGGACATTCCGACCAGGCAGGGAGAAAGCAGCAAAGCCAATCGTAGTGGCAAATTGGAGATGGGATGGAAAATGTGATTCAATTGCAGAGACGTACTGCAGATGACAGAAAACGGCGAAGTCGGGTCCGTCCAAAGAGGGGTGACAAATCTGGGAGAGAGCTATAATCCGAACTTGAATCGCACGAATGCTGGGGGAGCTAAATGTATGAAAAACGAAAATCCACCGTCTGGGCGAAGGACAAATTAGTATAACGGTTACAAAACTTTCCCTCAATACAAAATGGTCACATATTTTTAATTTGTAACAATACGATAATAAAAGTTTAAAATTATATGAATGATCACTTCTGTTTAATTTCTTACCATTTTGTATTATGTGCAAAAGTTTGTTCCCGAGTCGTTACAAATTAAAAGTTTGTGACCACTTTGAGATTGGATCGTGTGTTCGTCAAGTATATGACACTAAGTCACTAACCACTTGAACGGCGTGAGATGTCGGATCGTGTGTTCATAGATATACTTGTTTTGTCGAATAAGAATGTTTACCTTTCAATTCCAATACCAAGAACGGAAGAAAGTAGGCCGAGTTTTCTGAACTTAAAAGTAGCATGTAACCCATTTGTGAGGCGTGGAAATCCATCACTGTAATCCTTTGTTTTTTTTTTATGAGTACTATCATCTTTTGTTAATATCATATCATTCACTTAAACTAACAAAGCCATCATACCTCAATTAAAGTGAAATTGTAACAGTGATTGATCGTTCAAACCTTTGAACGTTATACAAAACGGTCACCAAAAGTTTAATTTGCAACGACATGGTAACAAAAGTTTGAACTTGCAAAGCTTATAGAGGTTGAGTTAATAGTAACTCTAAATGAGATCTATACTCCATAATGGAATTTGGAGAGGCACTGCTAGATCATTCACTAAACTAGGATAACGTGCATGGCCATATATGCACGAGTTGATAGAGAATAACACTCAATGAAAAATTCTGACATGCTACACTGTCTGAGATGGAGTTCAAGACCACAAGTTACTCTTGTTAAGTCAAAAGTGTAACCACTATAAGTCAAAAGTGTAACCACATTGATGGGCATAGCCTTGCAAAAGGTATATAAGAATACGTTTCTCTCTCTTAATGGTATACCCCTTGGAGTGTTGTGGGAGAGGGAGGACCTAAACGACCTCCATACCACGCACACACATGTGTGCGCCGTTCGTTCGAAAATGAAAACGTATAAAGGATAATTAATACCAGAAAAATGCATTTTATTTATGAAGCAATCAACGTGACTTATTCTCCACGAAGAGAGTATTCGAAGGGTTTTTTGGCTCCTATAAATAGTCGACTCCCAGATCCGTTAGATACAAGATTACAAGAGCATAAACATGAAGAAAGTGAAATTCAAGGAGTTCCAGTTTGGCACAAGCCAAGAGTAAACAAAGCGGGGTTATTTTATCCTAGAGACGACTAGCTAATAGTCGGTTGTGAGCATTACGAAGTAGTGACATGAACATCTTAAAGAGAGCAACATAGCCTGTGATTCATCCAAATTAGTAACCCTAGTGTCAATTATTTGGTTTCGAGCATGCGCGTCTGAGTTTGACTTTTGGGCTTTATTAAAATTCAATTGGGGTGTGAATGCCCCAATTTTTTGTGACAATAGATTGAGAAATATTTTTGTACCTGCGTTATTCAAGTAATTTTCCTTTAAATTACAATTTTTATAGAAAAAGCCATAGTTTAACTAATATATCAAGCACTGTTGGAAAGAAAGTATACCAAGTTAAGACAAAAAACAATTACTTATAGGATTGTTTGGATGAAGTATTTGAGCGAGTGATACGCCACTAGGGGTGTATATTATTAAAGTCACTCAACTAACGACGCGTTCTTAATACAAACTTGGATAAAACGGAATCAAAAGTGCAATTCCACACCTGGGGAAGGCTCGATTGATATAATGATAGATGTCCGGTCACGATCAACGTGTTCTTAATCAATACAAGAGCTCAATGAGTTTGAAATCCACCAAACTCAACACAAGTATGCAAACTTGCAAAAACCCAAAGGTTCAATTTCAATTCATCAAAGTCTGTGTTTTACAACAAAATAGAAAGCTTAAATCGGCCTAGCTACGTCTATCCAACTAATAAGAAAGTCTAATTACACTACAATCTATCATCCAATTCCTTCCCTTTGTATAAAAACATACCTAGTTTCATGTTGTGGAAGCCTTTGGACTTGAATCAGATCCATGCTCCTCGAATTGAGCTCCAAAGTAGGCTTCACAAAACAATTTCGCCTTAGCCATTTTCTGGCAGTTTTCAGCTTTCCAGATACACTTTTGAACAGCTTGGAAAATGATGTTATGGACTTCCTCTCGAGCTCCAGAGCATACCAATGGATAGATAAACATCTCATCTTCAAAACAAACAATCAAAGTCGAATTTACACCGAGCCAATTGAGATCTACGACCTCCCAAAGTAGGCACCTTGAAACTGCCAAAACACTTAACCAGATTTTCACCCTTCTTTGGCCAATTGAGATATCTTCTTTGTCAAGCAACTGAGACTTGTAGAATCGACCATTTTGGATTGTATCAGTGAGTTATTTGGGCCCAAATAACTTGTTTCGCAATATATTAGGGTTCTTATTCTCAAACAAACGATGTGGTAGAAACTAGAAACCAAGCACTTGCTGCTTTGCTGTTGCAGCTTTGTTGGAACGACATAACATCTAAGGGGTGCCTCAAACCATGACCTATACATTTCTTAAATCAATTTCTGTCGTTGTGCTTTTCTCCTAACTTGAAATTCAAGACTGTAACACAAAAGCGATGCACAAAGAAAATCCAACTCCTTTCACTCAGATAGCTAGCATTTGTAGATTTATTCCATGTAGCTCGCTAAGTATGATGTCATTTCCACGTTTTATTTTTTAACTCAAGGGATTCCGAACTAACCTTTTGCAAATAGATTCTTCTTCTTCATGGTGATATATGAAATAGTGATAACGTCTTAATTACACATATTTAGTCCCTCATTTCTTGATCGTTTTAGCTCGATTTTTTGCATATTAAGCCTATTTTATGCTAGGGTGTGCTCTTTTGTCACATTTTAGGTCCTAGAAGATAAAGGGAGGCCTAGGTGCAAGTTTCAGGTTGTTCGCGAATTGCCTGGCAGTTCGGAGGAAGAAACTCGGGCATGGCCAGAAGGAACACGACCAAGTTCCTAGTAAGACCAAATTTCCACTAACGAAGCAAAAACTCGGTCTAGTAAGATACATAAACTCGACTGAGTTTAGCAACACAAGAGGCCGAGTTTCTCAAGACGAGAGCAAACTCGACACAAGGCACATGACGACACTCGACCGAGTTCCCACTAGATGAGGACGAGTTTGGGTTGATGAAGAACAAAACTCGGTCGATGCAAAGTACAAAACTCAACCACATTTTTCACTGACAAGGTTGGGTTTTGACTATCGAGTCCAACCCCGAACACAGCTGAGTTTAAGTGAAACAGCGCATAAGGCAAAGCTCGATATGGGGGAAACTCAAGCTAGAAACTTGACCAAGTTCTGCCCAACTGCGGGATTAAAGTTCAATTTTGGGTTCTTTTCGAGGTATCTGATTTTTTTTATAGAAAACAGAGCTCTAGGAGAAAGTAACGAAGAACAAGACCTAGGAGCTATTTGGAGCTAATTTCTCACCATTGAAGCCCAGATTTCTCCCCAATGAGTGAAGATTGACATAACAGAGAAGATTATATACATCTCCATGAGTATGGTTGCTTTGTATTTGGTTTCTTTTCTCTCTCTCTCTCTCTCTCTCTCTATTGAGTAAACCTTCTTCTGACTTGGGTATGAAGAACCCTAGTTTCATGTGTTAGAGATCTTGTTTGTAATGACCTTTGGATGCTTTACTAGTTGTTATTAATCAATTGAGGCATGATTTGTTGAGTCAATTGGATCTTGATGGCATTCCGTAGTTTAATCAACAGTAAAACGACCAAAGGAAATTACAACATGGACCTAATTGAGGAGTTAGGGGGCGCATACCCGAGTGACTCTTATTGCTTCTGAAAACCAAACAATTTACTTTCTTTCCTTGTTACTGTGCTTTCTGCATTTTCACCACAATTTAACTGCTAGATAATAGACAATCACGGAGTAGACAGTATACCTAGGACCCCATTGAAAATTTAAACCGAACTCACTTTGTTGTAGTCTTCCGCGGTGGTTATAATTGACCATTGTAAAAGTGTTGTGTTATGTGAGTTAAATAGCCCAAATATTTAAAGGTGTATGACTTGTTATTTGTTGTACAATGAAACATAGGAAAAAGATTTGTGATTGGAGGTTAGAATAGTGACATAGAATATTGAAATGAAAGACTTCATTACCACCTGCAAAATTCGGTCAGGTCAGATACATCACCTTCCAATGCCCTCAAGGCTGCAGTCGCCTACAGTTAGGCAATTTCAGAATTCAGCATTGCACACCAACATTTGCTTGACATTATCCATAATAATGATACTACAACAGAAGAGAACAATGAATCATTACTGACCCTGACACTAACTAGGGCTTAAGCTAAAACAAGACAAAATAGAGCAATGCCAGCCATCACTATTCGGTAATGCACAAAGCAAGTCCAAAAGGGAGATTCTAGAACTCCGAAATCATTTTAAAAAATGTAGTCCATTTTGGACTCGCAAGAAACTACACCGCGAATTAATCCCGAATAGAGTCCAAGTTTTTAAACTCTAGTCGGGTACAGTATAGGGCAAGTATTTAAATTGTCAACCCGGACCGGTCCATGTACCCCTACTTCAATAGCTTAAGTTGTTATCTAGCAAAACAGTTTTGGATTTAAAACTAATAAACCTACAAATGAAAACAAGCAAGTAAAGTAAATCGAGGTTGTCCCAATGAGAGAAGAGTTCACTCGGGTGTTGCTCCCCCTAGCTAACAATTACGACTTGAAGAATTGAATGATCGTGTGTGGTTAGGGGTTCATAAACCGCAGGGAAGTCTAACAAGCAGCCAAAGTTACCCTCTTAGCCTCTAGGTTGAGGAATGGGATACGATCCAAGCCACTAATGTGACCCTCTCAACCTATCAACTAAGGAATGTTTAGACTTCACCCTCGAATTGGAATTCGGACGGCCACCCACAAAAAAAAC